AATCGTAGTTTGCCTAGTATAAAGAAAAATAAGTTAGTTGTTTTGGCAGATGATTTTGGTAAATATTGTGGGAATACTTGAACAGAGTTTTGGGGAATAGGTTTGTAATTCAGATAGTTTCTAAGCCATTTGCAAGATTAACGGATGTTGTTGCTGGTGCCGAATGCTATATTAAAGATTTGACAAGGGCTGATTATGTAATTCTGGTAGCGGTATGAACAATCTGGATGTAGATGCAGAGATTACGTCGTGCTTGCAAATAAATGCTTTCAAACCAATTTACTTTTATGCTCTATTCCGTTAAAAAAGCGATCTATCAAGTAAAGTAAATATTTTGTCTCATATAAACAAAAAAAATCCAGTACGTAGCGGAACGATTGAAACAATATTCTGCCAATATAGACATATTAGTAGATCACTCCAGTGATTATCTCGTTGGCGATTTCACTGAGCAGGGAATATATCTGAGTAGATATGGTCTTGATAGATTTTTCAAGTAGAATAAAAGAAGGAATAGATAATTTTGGTCTTCATAGGAATACAAATTTGAAATTTATAGAATTTAATATGAAGAACCTGAAGTAACTATAAATTTGACTACTTGTGGGGCCGATCAGCAGTCTGAGCGGGCTTTTTTATAGATAGGTTTAATAAACGATGCAGCAATGAAAGGCTGTCGCGGAGTAAGGGTAAGAATATTAAGAGTAAGGATACAGAATGTAATCTTCTGTATCTTAATTCAAGTAGTGCAATTGCTAATTTTGATCAGATCCATGCCCTAGTTCTGGACTTGGATCCTAAAATTATTTTTTTATCTGAAACACATTTGACTGAAGAAATTGAAGATGATGAAGTCAGTATAGATGGATATAGATTGGTGAGACTAGACAGTTCAAGCCGATCGACAGGTGGTGTACAAATTTATTTAAAGAATTTATTTAAAATATTATCAATAAGCAGAGTTAAGTTTGAAAAGAAGTATTGGGTATTAGGAGTTAAGATAGAAGTTAGTAACAAAAACTTGTATGTAGTTTGTCTATATCGATCTCCGAGCTGTAGTGAGAAGGATTTTTTGATTTTTTTTGAAGAATGTAGTCATGATTCTGTATGTGATAATAACATACCAACTGTAATACTGGGAGATTTTAACATTGACATGTTGAAGCCAGATAATACATATACGCAGCGTCTTACTAATATCTCACATGATATAGGATTCCAACAACAAATTAAGGAAATAACAAGGCCAAATAGAGACGGTGGTACATGTATTGATTTGTTGTTTACAAATTAGCTGGATCTGATTCCTAAAGTAAAACATGCCCCCAGAGTGAGTGATCATTATTATATATGTGTCAATGGTGCAATATTGCAATCACAGAATAAGATTCCACATTTTATTTCGACTAGAGGGAAAAATATAAATTATGATTTAATTAGGGAGAACCTAAAATTGGTTGATTGGCACTTTAATATAAATAATATAGATGATAAGTGTAAGTTCTTTGTGTCAACAGTTTATCGGGCCTTGAATACTATAGCACCATTAAAACAGGTTAAAATTTTACCACGATATAAACCATGGTGGAATGAAAATGTCAAAAAAGCAGCAGAACTAAGGGATAAAAGTTATAAGATTTACAAATTGCTCAAGAGTGAAGATGCACATAGATCGTATAGAGATAAGCGAAATCAAGTAGTTAAAACTATCAAAGAAGAGAAAATAAAGTACTATGAGCAAAAAGTGGATGGATGTAGACGGGATCCTAGGGCAATGTGGAATGTATTGGGAGAGATTTTACCAAAGAAAAATCATGCAAACATTGATAAAATAGAGATGGAAGGAGAAATAATAATGGATAAAAACAGTCTGTCTGAAAGACTAAACAGATTTTATGTAGACAGCATAGATTCCATAATTGAAGAAATTAAACCTGATTCAGGGAATATGGATACCTTGAGTGACTTCACAAAAAATAATGCAGACTTTAGCTCGTTCAGATTAATAGATTCTGATTCCCTGTTTAAAATTGTTATGTCATTGAAAAACAAAAATAGTCCCGATGACTTGAATGTAACATTAATAAGGAATATATATCCGTCTCTTGAAGCACCCCTGATTAATTTAATAAATAGTTCACTGGAACAAGGAAAGTTTCCAGATCCTCTAAAGCTCGCTACAATAATACCAGTTAAAAAAAAACTTAACTCAATAGAAGCATCTAATTTTCGACCCATTAATACACTTCCTGTCATCGAGAAAATAATTGAAAAAGTTGTATATGATCAGCTTCTCGAATATTTAAACACACATAATACTATAACAGAGAAGCAGTCAGGCTTCAGAAATGGTCACAGCTGTGAAACTGCAATACAGTACATTCTGGATGAATTTAAAATAAAATATGACCAGGGTTTCAATGTACCTACTAGCGGTTTTTCTGGACTTACAGAGAGCCTTTGAGACGGTCGATCGGCACAGATTACTTAAGAAACTAGAAAAAATTGGAATTGGGGATGTGGTGTTGAGATGGTTTGGAGACTATCTAACATCAAGAAGACAATTAACTAGACTGAATGGAATTAGTTCAATAGAGATAGTTAACGAGCATGGTGTACCGCAGGGAAGTGTTTTGGGTCCACTATTGTTCATTATTTATATAAACGATCTGCCAGATGTAATACATGACATTGAATTGCATAACTTCGCCGATGATAGTCTATTCTACGCCTTTTCAAAAGATTTGGATGTGTTGGTGGAAACTGTTAATAATGCCCTAAATAAAATGGACAATTATGCATCAACGAATTTTTTGAAGATTAATGTTAGTAAAACTAAATTTATGTTTATTGGTACACATAATAACAGGAGTCTTTTTAATATGAACAACTATTCAATTGAAATGGGTAACAATAAGTTGGAAGAAGTTCAAAAGATTAAGTATCTTGGGGTAATTCTTGATAACAAATTAAAATTTAAAGATCACTGCAACATTCTGGTTTCTAAAATTAGTTTTAAGACAAATTATCTTAGGCGCTGTTCAGCATCTCTCTCAGCTTGGTCTAGAATTGTTGTTTTTAACACTATAGTTTTGCCACACTTCAATTATTGCGCAACAATACTTTATTTACTTAACCAGAATGATATCCAAAGACTGCAAAAGTTGCAAAATAGATGTATGAGAATCATACTCTCATGTAACAAATATACTCCTATAAAAAGTATGCTTAGATTGCTTCAGTGGCTTCCAGTTGTGGAATATGCAAAATATAATGTACTGGTGTTTATTTTTAAAATTAAAATTGGACTTGCTCCATTGTATCTTACAAGAAAAATAGTTTACAGTGGCCAGATGCATGATCACAACACTAGACAACAGAACAACTTCTATATACCACATAGATGTGGGGCATCAGCAACAAGATCGGTATTCTTTAAGGGTATGAATGAGTTTAATCAGCTACCGGATGAAATAAAGTCATGTGTTAGTATTAGCAATTTCAAAAGAAAATTAAAAGTTCATCTGCTGACTCAATGTGATATATATGTTCCAGATTAAAGCACAAATGAGTAGCTTATTCTTGTTGATCTGAATTTTGTTGATTTGAATTTCTTTTGTTTTGCGGTATCTTGATCTTGTATTTTGTGAAGTGAAAAACGAATGCCATATTTTGTATGAGTTTCAGGACTTGCTTTTTACGAAATTTCAAGTTTTATTATGTCTTTCGGAATGATTGTCATTTGTATTTTGAATTTAAATTACATTTTGTCTTTCATGTTGTTTCGGTTTGTCTCCTTTAATGTTTCTTTTCATAGTTCTGAATTGTTCGTTGTTTTTTTTTTTTTTTAAATTGTTTACTTTAATTGACACTATACACTAATTATAACTTTTGTGAATTTATATATGTAAGTTGCACGATTAGCTATTGCTAAATAAACGAAATAAATAAAAATAAAAAACATTTTAAAGATTTTTTCAAAAAAATTTCTACTCGGAGATAATAGGGGTGGGAAGTTTTCAAATTGACACCCTGTATACTTCACCCCCTCGCTCCTCATACGGAAAGTGTCAGGAATTTATTAAGTGAATCACCATTCTATATTGACGCATTCGTCTTAGAAAACAAAATTCTCCTTAGACAAAGCTTTGTTTTGGTTCGAAATTTGGAACAGTTCTAGGATTGCGCAGAACTGCTTGCGCACAAACAATAATGGAGGATTTCAACGTTTTTTATTTATCAATTTTTCTGAGTGGCTGTTTTCATAAAATTCAGCTCCAAATCTCAGAATAATTTAGTGTATGAAGTTTGGGGGATCCCAAAGCACCATTAAGACACAAAATCTCAACAAAAAAAAATTTGAAATTTCATCGTTTTAGTAATCTAAGGTTTTAGTAGAAGTTATTTTATGATTTAGATTTTGGAAAACTTTGAAAGGTCATAACTTTTTTTCTATTATAGATAGAACGCTGAAATTTTCAGCGATTCCTATCCCAGTAGGGGACTACAATCCCTGTTTCAGCTCATTTGTACTTATAGTTCCAGAAATAAAATCGTGTTAAGCAATTTGAGGTGATTCATCAATTTTCAATTTTTGTGATTGCCTTTTTTCATAGATTCCGGCTCCAAAATCTCAGAATAATTTAGTGTATGGAGTTTGAGAGATCCCAAAGGACCATTAAGACACAAAATCTCAACAACAACAAAAAATTTGAAATTTCATCGTTTCAGTACTGAGGTAGCTACCTTATGATTTAGATTTTGAAAAACTTTGAAAGGTCATAACTTTTTTCCTATTATAAACAGAAAGCTGAAATTTTCAGCGATTCTTATCCTAGTAGAGGACTACAATCCCTTTTTTCAGCTCATTTGGATTTATACTTTCAGAGATAAAATCACGTTAATGTATGAGTAATGCAATTATTTTTTTTATCCTAAATAATTTTCAATCAATCATTTAAAAGAATCCAAAAAAAAATAACGCAGATAATTAATTTCAGATAGCAGAAGAAGTGGCCAAACTCCTAGACCTCAAAGCCCAACAAGCCCCTGCTGAAGATGCGGCAGCCAACCAAAAATTCACCCTCAAAACCCCAAAAGGAACCCGAGACTATTCGCCCGAGCAAATGGCTCTGCGCCTCAACGTTTTCAATAAAATAATTTCGGTTTTCAAAAAGCACGGTGCTGAAACTATCGATACACCAGTATTCGAGCTCAAAGAAGTCCTAACTGGTAAATACGGCGAAGATTCCAAGTTGATTTACGATTTGAAAGATCAGGGAGGCGAAATTTTGTCTTTGCGCTACGACTTGACTGTTCCTTTTGCTCGTTATTTAGCCATGAATAAGATTAGCAACATTAAACGTTACCACATTGCCAAAGTTTATCGCAGGGACAATCCGTCTATATCTAGAGGAAGATACAGGGAGTTTTACCAATGTGACTTTGATATAGCTGGGACTTATGATCCCATGATACCAGATGCAGAATGCATCAAAATAATTGCGGAAATTTTAGATGTAATGCAAGTTACACCATTTGTTGTGAAAGTTAATCATAGGTTGTTGCTAGATGGGATGTTTGAGGCTTGTGGCGTGCCAAAAAGTAACTTTAGAGCAATTTGTTCTGCTGTTGATAAGCTTGATAAGAGTCCTTGGGAGGAAGTCAAAAAAGAGATGGTTGAAGAAAAAGGACTTAGTGAAGATGTTGCAGATAAAATCGGAAACTATGTTAAATTAAATGGACAATTAGAACTTGTAGATAAATTATTGTTAGATGAAAACTTATCCAAAAACAAATGTGCTGTTGAGGGCCTCGAATCTATCAAGCTACTGCTGAAATATTGCGAAATATTTGACATTTCGAATAAGGTTTCTTTCGATTTGAGTTTGGCAAGGGGTTTGGATTATTATACGGGAGTCATTTACGAGGCAGTCTTATTGGGTGACGACATTGCAGTGGGTTCTGTAGCTGGCGGAGGACGTTACGACAATTTGGTGGGCATGTTCGATGGAAAAAATAAACAGGTGCCTTGTGTCGGTGTCTCTATTGGCGTTGAAAGGTAAAAATTTTCACATTAAGGCCGGTTTTTCAATAGTGAGCCACCCTCGGGATAAGCATTTCAACTAGACATGTTTACCCTGGAGTTAAAACCAACCTATTTTTGACTGTATATGACTGACTATATTTGACTGACATAAAAATCATGAATCACTGTTTTCGTTTCATAGTGCTTCAAAAATTAGCTATATAATGGTGTGTGATATTAAAAGTTGAGTTGTAAGGGGCGCTTCAGTACTTGAGAGTTTTTTACATTGAGATACTATTAGGGCTAGTTTCTCAATATCGAGTCATCTCCGTGTTGGTTTTAACTCCTGGGGTAAGAGTGCCCATTTGCTATGTTTACCCTGGAGTTATGCTTAACTCGGGGGTGATTTGCTATTGAAAAACTGGCTCTAAATAATACTTCAATGGTTACGCGACACAATTTAAAAAGTACAGAAACGCCCTCTATAACGCAACTGTCAATATTATATGCCATTCGCTTTAGTTTGTTTTAAACACTCGAATTTTCTAGTTATAAAGCAATGTTGCAAGATTGCGCAAAATTGTAAAACATTGGGTTATTTTGTTTTTTCAAATAGATTATTTGCTGTAATGGAACAAAGATTACAAGCAGCCAATAGAAAAACTCGCACTACCGAAGTTGACGTTTACGTTTGTACCGCTCAGAAAAACTTGGTCGAAGAACGGTTGAAACTTTGCAATGAATTGTGGGACAACGAGTTCAAGGTATGTGAAAGTCGAAATAATCCTTACACCTTTAAGTCTCGGTTTATTCATCTTTAAGTTTTGTTGATAACTAAACATTACTGAGCTATAATCCCATTTACCAATGGGATTACAGATTGCGTTTTTATCTGTCAGATTCCATATCTACCTATCAGAAGGTTAATGCACTAAAAATAAAAAATTTCAGGTTGAATTTTCCTATAAAAAAAATCCAAAACTTTTGGCCCAATTGCAATATTGCGAAGAAAACAGTATTCCTTATGCCCTAATTTTGGGCGAAAGCGAAGTTAAGAGTGGCATTGTGAAACTGAGAAATGTAACAACCAGAGAAGAGTTGGAAGTGAAACGTGGCAACTTGGCTGAAGTTTTGCGACAAAAACTGGGCGAATTGAATTGCAACGGCACAGTACCAACTTAAAATAAATGCATTTTTTTCTAGGCAATTTACCTATTTATTTTATTTATTTTTAGGCAAATAAAACAAAAAAAAAAAAAAATGTTTAGATTTTTATTTATTTATTCTAAAAAATAAAATAAACCATCGAAAAACCCTTTTTTTTTAATTTTCGTTCTACAATTATTATACAGGGTAAAATGACATCCAATAAAATCTTATCAAATGTAAGAAGTTATACGAATAATATTATTAATGCTAAACATCCATTAAATGACAATTATTATTATTATATTTTTGCAATGTTGCCAATGCTATTTTTCGGCAGTGTTTCATTTTTTTTTTTTTTCAACCTTAAAGCTAATTATGATGAAAATGTCAACAAAATGATATCGTTATTATTATTTACAAATTGAGTTTTAGGGACAAAAAACGCACCTACAATAATTACATTTTGAGATAATGTATCTACTTCCTGGTGTTTTTGTCCCCCTATAAAATGCAACCTACAGGCTAAATATTAAATATTTTTTTTCTTAATATCAACACACATAGAGAGAGATATTTTGTTCACAACACTATGTTACCAATTTTTTCTAATATATTTCAAATAAAAAAAATAACAAAAATAAAATAAAAATATAATTAAGTATAACATTTAAAAAATAATTATTACTTTTCTTTTTTGGTTAAAGTCTTGGTTCGAGTGGTCCATGAAACCGTTTCTATGGTCAAAAACAAGAAAATTTATGTACAAAATTTTGATTCAGTGGACAATCTTGGCCCAAATAAGAAGGTGCGCAAGATGGATTTTTTTTACATCGGAAGACCCTGAATTTAAATATGGTGCCTGTGCGCTTTTAAGTACAAAATTCTGGGTGACTAGTAAGTTCAGTCTTATATTAAAACAATGAGTTATGGTTTTGGTGTGAGCAAAATAATTTGAAAGTTTTATCACAAAAAATTTAGAGCGAAAAATGAATTGAATAAAAAATTAAATTTATTCCAATCTTGCTTTGTAACTGGTCTTCCAAATTTCGGCCAATGTCACAGCCGAATGGAACCGATGGAAAATGCACAGCGGCAAAGTGATACGTTGAACGATGGCCCAAGTCAAAAATCCGTAAAACTTCTTCTGGACCGGATTGGCTTCGACTTTTTGTTGCTCGAAAGTGTAAATGATCCACATCGTGATATTGCAAATCAGCAGGAAAGTCACTACTTGGCGGCCCGGTTTGGTGCGGTCGTGTTCCGGAAGATGGACGCGACGACGCGAAACGTCTGCGATGAATAACAATTGGAGAACTACCTGAAATTGACATTTAGATTTTAGAATTTATCAACAATCAATGGTAAATAATTGTTACATCTTGAATATCATTTCAAATTTTGGGAAAACTACTGTGCCCAGTAAAAACTCTAGTCGCAGAGCATCCACCGTTGCTAAATGTATCGTAATATAGGTTAGGTAATGTGTAATGTGTTGCGTACGTTATGACTTTGAGTTCTACGTTTACTCCAGAGGTATGATGGCCCAGTTGGAATACGCCCGGTTTTTGGAGCAAATGGACCCAGAGACTAGCACTCATTACGCTAAAGTCCCATCATCTTACCTGTAAAACAGACAAAACTCCAGTAATCATGACCAGCATGTTCGGTTCAACGGTGAACGCTTCGAAATGGCCAGCAATCACACTGAAAACAGCATAAGTGAACAATCCAAAGGCTGAAACCCTCAATAAAATGTCATTCAAGTCACTCTGCTCTTCGGTTTTGAATTTCAAACTTTGAACTCTGAAAAAGAAAAAGTTATAGTTATTTACTTAACAAGTGCAAAAACGCATACTTCACACACTTTACTATACAGCGGTAATAGCAATTTGTGTATTAAGAGCGCAAAGTGGTACTTTGCCGATTGAAAGATATTGTTGACGCGCAACGCGGCAATATCTTGAGATTGGCAAAGGCACTTTTCGCCGTTAAGGGCGGTAAAGGCACTTTCCGCATGTGTTAGGTACAAAATTTTACCTATGAGCATCTACATCTCCAAAAAAAGGCATTTATAAAATTAATTAATGAATCAGATTAATTAATGAAATTAGATAAGATTTAGAAATGATCAAAAATCCATTTTCTGAAAAAGAGAGGATTTTTGATTATAAATATCAAATTCTACTTGACCGCACACTATGCGGTAAAGTGCACTTTACCGCACACTTTGATTCTACTTTACCGCATACTATGCTGTAAAGTTAACTTTACCGCACACTATGCGGTTAAGTGCACTTTACCGCATAGTGTGCGGTAAAGTGATACTTTCCATTTGCAAATACGTGCGGTAAAGTTCACTTTACCGCACGCTCATAGGTAAAAGTTTTACCGCACCGTGCGGAAAAACTCATTTTCCTACAATCGCCCTAGAAAGCAGGCTTTGTCGATTAGATTTGTGATCGCAAAGTAGGCGTTTCCTGATGACTAAAAACGCTCGCTTGTATTTTCCCAATTTTTTATTCCCACTTTTTTTTTCCCGACCATTTTTATTCACGACTTTTTTTTTCACAATTTTTTTTCCCGACCATTTTTTTTCACTTTTTTTTCCCGACTATTTCTTTTCCCGGCAATTTTTTTTCTCGACTTTTTTTTTCTCGACTTGTTTTTCCCGACCATTTTTTCTTCCCGGCCAATTTTTTTCCCGACCGACTTTTTTTTCTCATGACCATTTTTTTTTCCCGACCATTTTTTGTCTCGACCATTTTTTTTCCCGACAATTTTTGTCCCGACCATTTTTTTTCCCGACTTTTTTTTTTCGACTATTTTTTTTCCCGACAATTTTTTTTCCCGACTGTTTTTTCCCGACTTTTTTTTTTCCCGACTTTTTTTTTCCCGACTATTTTCATTTCCTGACCGACTCTTTTTTTTCCCGACAATTTTTTTTCTTGACCATTTTTTTCCCGACTTTTTTTTTCCCGACTATTTTTTTTTCCCGACAATTTTTTTTCCCGACCATTTTCTTTCCCGACTTTTTTTTTCCCCGACTTTTTTTTTTTCGCGACAATTTTTTTTCCCGACTTTTTTTTTCCCGACTTTTTTTCCCAACTTTTTTTTTCCCGACTTTTTTTTTCCCGACTCCTTTCATTTCCCGACCGACATTTTTTTTCCCGACAATTTTTTTTCCCGACTTTTTCTTTCACGACCATTTTTTTTTCCCTGATCTTTTTTTTTCTCGAGCATTTTTTTTTCCCGACTTTTTTTTCCCGACTATTTTTTTTCCCGGCAATTTTTTTTCCCGACTTTTTTTTCTCGTTTTTTTTTTCTCGACTTTTTTTTTCTCGACTTATTTTTCCCGACCATTTTTTCTTCCCGGCCAATTTTTTTCCCGACCGACTTTTTTTTCCGACCGACTTTTTTTTTTCCGGACCATTTTTTTTCCCGACGTTGTTTTCCGACTATTTTTTTTCCCGACAGTTTTTTTTCCCGACTTTTTTTTTCCCGACTTTTTTTTTTCCCGACTTTATTTTTCACGACCATTTTTTTTCCCCGACCTTTTTTTTTCCCGACAATTTTTTTTCTTGACCATTTTTTCCCGACTTTTTTTTTCCCGACAATTTTTTTTTCCCGACAATTTTTTTTTCCCGACCATTTTTTTTCCCTGACCTTTTTTTTTTCGACTATTTTTTTTTCCCGACAATTTTTTTTCCCGACCATTTTTTTCCCCGACCTTTTTTTTCTCGAGCATTTTTTCTTCTCGACTTTTTTTGCCGACAATTTTTTTTCTTGACCATTTTTTTCCCGACTTCTTTTTTCCCAACAATTTTTTTTTCCCGACCATTTTTTTTCCTGACTTTTTTTTTCCCGATTTTTTTTCTCGTTTTTTTTTCTCGACTTTTTTTTCTCGACTTATTTCTCCTTTCATTTCCCGACTTATTTTTCCCGACCATTTTCTCTTCCCGGCCAATTTTTTTCCCGACCGACTTTTTTTTTCACGACCATTTTTTTTTCCCCGACCCTTTTTCTCGAGCATTTTTTCTTCTCGACTTTTTTTCCCGACTTTTTTTTTCCCGACATTTTTTTTCCCGACTCCTTTCATTTCCCGACCGACTTTTTTTTTCCCGACAATTTTTTTTCCAGACTTTTTTTTTCACGACCATTTTTTTTTTCCCGACCTTTTTTTTTCTCGAGCATTTTTTTTTTCCCGACTTTTTTTTCCCGACAATTTTTTTTCCCGACCATTTTTTTTTCCCGACTTTTTTTTTCCCGACTTTTTTTTTCCCGACTATTTGCATTTCCTGACCGACTTTTTTTTTCCCGACATTTTTTTTTCGCGACTTTCTTTTTTTCCGACTATTTTTTTTCCGCAACAATTTTTTTTCCCGACTTTTTTTTTCCCGACCTTTTTTTTTCTCGAGTATTTTTTCTTCTCGACTTTTTTTCCCGAGAATTTTTTTTCTTGACCATTTTTTTCCCGACTTTTTTTTTCCCGACTCCTTTCATTTCCCGACCGACTTTTTTTTTTCCGACAATTTTTTTTTCCCGACTTTTTTTTTTGACACGACCATTTTTTTTCCCCGACCTTTTTTTTTCTCGAGCATTTTTTCTTCTCAACTTTTTTTCCCGACAATTTTTTTTCCCGACAATTTTTTTACCCGACTTTTTTTTCACGACCATTTTTTTTCCCCGACCTTTTTTTTTCTCGAGCATTTTTTCTTCTCGACTTTTTTTTTCTCGAGTATTTTTTTTTCCCGACTATTTTTTTTCCCGGCAATTTTTTCTCCCGACTTTTTTTTTCCCGACTTTTTCTCGTATTTTTTTTCTCGACTCTTTTTTTCTCGACTTTTTTTTTCTCGACATATTTCTCCCGACCATTTTTTCTTCCCGGCCAATTTTTTTCCCGACCGACTTTTTTTTTTCACGACCATTTTTTTTTCGCGACCATTTTTTTTTCCCGACTTTTTCTCGTTTTTTTTTTTCTCGACTTATTTCTCCCGACCATTTTTTTTTCCCGACCATTTTTTTTCTCGACCATTTTTTTTCCCGACAATTTTTTTCCCGACAATTTTTTTTCCCGACTTTTTTTTTCCCGACTTTTTTTCCCAACTTTTTTCCCAACTTTTTTTTTCCCGACTTTTTTTTTCCCGACTCTTTTCATTTCCCGACCGACTTTTTTTTTCCCGACAATTTTTTTTCTCGACTTTTTTTTTCACGACCATTTTTTTTCCCCGACCTTTTTTTTTCTCGAGTATTTTTTTTTCCCGACTTTTTTTTCCCGACTATTTTTTTCCCGGCAATTTTTTTTCCCGACTTTTTTTTTCCCGACTTTTTCTCGTTTTTTTTTTCTCGGCTCTTTTTTTCTTGACTTTTTTTTTCTCGACTTATTTCTCCCGACCATTTTTTTTCTCGATTATTTTTTCCCGACTTTTTTTTTCCCGACAATTGCCGTTGCGTGCGGTAAAGTATCACTTTCCGCATTTGTTAGGTAAATAACTATTACCGCACGCATATCAGTGCGGAAAAAGTTTCCCCGGTAAAAATTTTACCGCCCTGATATGTCAAAAAAAAAAAGAAAAATTTTACATTTTTACGCGTGTAGGAAAAATATTGTACAGGGTTATTGGTTGTAAATGTCACCCCCCTCTATCTTTTTTATTTGACATTTCAGAATAAAGTGTCCCAAATAAAAAATTTATGGTTGAAATTAAATTTTTTGAAAAATTCACTTTCGCATATACAGGGTTCAGAAAAGCTGGTCGTGCTCCAAATTTCTTATTTCAAATAGAATACCCTGTATATTATTGGATATTCGAATTCTACATAAAATTTTGAGCAGATTTCATGTAATATACCCTATACCTAAGTTCAACTGTTTTGGAAATATTGACAGTTGAAAATTGACTTTTTTGCAACTTTGACAGGCTGTAAATCCTAAACGGTTAATTTTAGAGCAAAACCGATCTTACATTTTTATCTTAGATTTTTATAAACTATCAATTGGCACCAATACCAACATCAACTTTAGATTTAATCCATGATTGAAAATTCCAATCAAATTTAATCTTCGGTTAAATTCAAAGTTGATGTAAAATCGAGTGTAAAATAATAACTTGTGAATTTAAGATTTTCAAATGTGAGATCGGTTTTGCTCAAAAGTTGACCGTTTAGGTTTTACAGCATTTCAAATTTGCAAAAAAGTAAGTTTTCAACTGTCAATATTTCCAAAACAGTTGAACTTAGGTATAGGGTATATTACATGAAAATTGCTCCGAATTTGACATAGAATCCGAATATTGAATAATATATAGGGTATTCAATTTAAAATAAGAAAGTTGGAGCACGACCAGCTTTTTTTGAAACACCCTGTATAGGCAAGAGTGAGATTTTCAAAATTTTTTATTTCAACCATAATTTTTTTATTTGGGACACTTTTTTCTAAAATGTCAAATAAAAAAGATAGAGGGAGGTGACATTTATAACCAATAACCCTGTACCTAACACTTGCGGAAAATATTTTCCCGCACTCGGCAGCCCCGTGCGAAAAAATTCATTTTCCGCACTTGTTAGGTAAATAGCTATTATAGCATGCATTGAGATTGAGAGACGGGTGTACTGCCAGATTGTGAAGTATGTGACAAATTTTGACATACAGAAATTTTGTGACTAATTTACTTAGGCTGTGGTCCGAATATAACCAGGGTTGTGGTTTCGCGGTCCGAAAGTAATCAAATTACTCTGGTTCCTGGTAAAGTGGTTACTTTGGGACATTGGTTTCCTAAAATCTGGTTAACCAAATGTCAAAATAGTTACCGGCTAGAGCACTTTCCAAATTTCACCGATAAATTGACCAGTTAAATAAACCGGTAGCTGTCAAAATATTCCGGTAAAAGTTAGGTGTAAGTCCGGTTACATGATTTTTCTGATGCATTTTGGAACGCTTTGGTGTGTCAAAGTTTAGTTGTGTTCGTGTTGTTTGTTTTTTGAAATGTATGGTGGGTGGTGTAGTGTGAGGTGCAGTAAAGTTGGTATCTATTTTTACTATTTTTAACAGTAAACATACGATAGTTTTCAGTACGATTTTTAAAGATAATTTGAGTGCCCAGTGAAAGCAATTAATGTATGTCAAATCAAAAGTGTCAAAAAATCTCCAATTAAAAGAACCGACGAAAATTCCCAGTGGACTTGGTGCCTCACCGGTTTCAAACAGATGACATTCCGGTCAAATTTGGAATGGACGATTTGGTTCAACCGGTAAAAAGTCGGTCCATTTTGGAACGGTGGTGAGTAAACTATTAAACCGGTACCTATCGCACGGGTTCAGAAATCGGTGAATTTTGCAAAGTGCCTCTATTGGATGTCGGTTCTGTTGGTTCTATCTGTAAATTCTGTCAGTTATTTTTTATTTGATATTCAACCGTTTCGGTTACTTTGGTTAACGTTTAGTTATATTCGGATCATAGCCTTATTCGTCTGATGATGAGCCGGCAACGATACCAACGTACCGAACAGAAGGCAATCTTGCCAACTTGAATCAATATCAACACACTTACCTAATAAATCCAATTATAATGGCCACAATACTCAAAACCATCAAGACGCAATGGGACACATCGGCCAAATAAATGGCCAACAATCCCAAATCTTTGTGATGAATGAGAACGAAAAACAGGATGAGGCAAATTAGAGAGGCAACTAGCATCAGGAGACCGAAAAAGAGACCCTTCGAGGCTCCCACGCAGTCCACTCGGCCTTGTTGCGCGTGCGCCATCGCTACTGCACGACGACTGAGCATTATTTCTAGTCTGTGTTCCAAGTCTTCTTGAGTAACGTATCTAAAATTAACAAAAAATATTATAATATATAAGTTGTATAAAAATCATATTACACATAAAATACTATAGAATTCTGAAGAATTATTATTCCTTTGTATGGTATTTGACGTTAGATATAATATGGCAACATTGTATAATAGTTTCTTTGGGCAGCGTCTTGTTACTTGTGTCATGTCATACATGTCTTTTGATGTTGTTTGTCAGTCAATTATTCAAATTTGATGATTTCTATACAGATGGGACCAGAGCCTACTAGACACATTACAACCGATGTGTCTAGTAGGTTGGTCCAGTCTGTACATATTTTTCAATGATGTTTCTACCACAATCTAGTATAAATACAATAAGCAATAAAATATTGTAGTATCTTTCATAAGTCAGGGTGAGGTTGAGTAAGGAAACGTTAACCTTGGGAAATTTTAATAAACCAAAATGACACTTGAGTTGAGAATGACGTAGGTAGTTGACAAGTGACAACGCAGCAAAATCAGGGTCGTTTTGTCTTCAGTCATAAAAGGTCTATTTCTGCAGAAATCACAAAGAGTTAGAGCGAATTTCATTGGTTGAAAACAGTCAGAAACAATCAGAAAACTAGTTTCAACCAATGAAATTCACTCTGACTGGTTTATGATTTTTGCAAAAACAGCCCTACTATTTTATAGCAAATTCTATTTGAAGGGTTAATGCGCACTGAGTGTATTCTTGTCTTTTTTTACCAGCTTGTATAAGAAAGAGATAAAAATATATTTTTTTTTTCTGATACACTGGTTCTACCGATAGAATTCGCTATTGAATGATTTTTCTTGGGCTCAAGCTTTCAGACAAAATCCAGGTAGCTCTCAATAAAAGCCTCAAATTGGTATTCAATTGAAATCCGTTAACAATTTTTGAGAAAATCGAGTTTGAAGTTTTGGATAAAATCTCGACAAGTCTCAACTTTGAAACTCCATATCTCGACAAGTAGTGCATAAGGTACAGAAACCAAGTTTGCACCGTTTATAAAGAATTTGATACTCTTTCCAATAATGTATAATTGTATGTAGGTATGCAATTTTCCCAAATTTCATGAAAGATATAATACCTATGTTTGCTGGACCAATGGCTATTTGCACGGCTATAACTTACGGGATATTTAATCTCAGAAACAGGAAAATACCAGTGGCGTACACTCCGATCGACCTGTATGGAGAACCATACGAAAATATACGAAACTGTATGATTATTCAAAAACTGTACATAGGAAACTGTATGATTATTTAAAAACTGTACATACATAGGATGGAATTCATACAGTGTTGCCAGATCTCCCGATTATTCGTAAGATTACACGATTTCGGTCAGAATAATTTAACGATCTCACGAATGAGGTAGCAATTCTTACGAATTCTCTCTGAAGTAATACAAATCGGTGATTAAATCTAATGTTTAATCGAAATAAAAATCTCTCGAAAAATCTACTATACAATATTTAGTTATGTTACGCCGCTCCTGGTACATACGCGCCGCGCGCTCAAGAAAACTTAACCTAATAGGACTGCTTATTAAGCTGAAAGTTTCTAAACGGTAAAATCACCTTTTATTAATTTAAAATCGACGAAAAAACCAAGTCACAAGCACATGCACTGCCTGAATCGCAAGCAATCCATCGAGGTCTGCGGGTGACGTCACAACTATCAGCTACTAATGGCGGTGACGTCACGCGCAGACCTGTTGCCGACTCGGGAATTAGCGAACATACGCCTTATCAAAAATCTATAAAAGAAAATTATTGTGCTTCATTATCTCATAACATTAACCAATTTTTAGTCTCACGATTTTTCTTTCTCGATTCTAACGATTTTTTTTAATTTCATCTGGCAACGCTGAATTCATATAGGATTTTTAGGCTATATTTAGGATGACGTCAAATTTAGTAAATTTCTGCTGCCAACCTAACAAAATTAAAAGTACTTTTTAACGCACTTATAGTAGGGGAATTTCAGATGTTTCTGGTTGGCAACGGCGCGCGATGTTGCATGACTTGTATAAACATTTTCATTTCGTTATTTTTAGCTGTCGTCAGAATTACTGATACATGATATTCATGGTAAATTATAGGAAAAAAAAATAGGCATTGACAATATTGTCTGTCCTTGTTCGATGACGTCATCCCAAATGTAACATAAAAAACCTTTACTAACATGGAAAAGTTGAGGGGGTAGTCAGAAACAGGAAAATACCAGTGGCGTACAAACACTCGATCGACCTACGAATAGAGAACCATACGAAAATATACAAAACTATATGATTTGACAATTAGTTGTTTCCCTTACTATTTATGTCCACGATGGTAATTTAATTATAATAGTAGGAGAAGGAGTGAAGAAGAAATAGAGAATTCTATTAGCCTGGGTCCTCTAGCCATCTTATTATTCATCGGTTAGGCCATTTTGTATGGCGCCTAAAAGCCGGTTTACAAATATGTTAACCACAAGTGTTTAGCGTCAAATGTCAATTTGACATGTTGAGTGTTACCAAACAGAAAAATAATCACAATTTCCGCGTGTGGCTAAATTCAACTGGTGTAGGCACTTTGGTGGAATGGTAGAACAAGCAATATTGTTAAATTAAACAGGGTTTGACAAGCTATGATTTGGTATTAGCATTAGTGAATTTTAATCACCGCATCCGTGGCGGTGCACCATTTTGGTGAATTTAGCAACACGTGGTTTATGATACTTGCACATGTAACTAATCACGTGACAGATCCGTTTACAATTTGACAACTAAACGCTAGCACTACACACCTGCATGTGCTACTGATAAAAATGTGAACCGGCCTTAAGGATTGGCCAAAAGGAGGAACTTAATCGATGATATAGGAAGAAATCATGTGTCGTTGACTAAGGGGGGAATCTGATAAAAGAAAGCAAGTCGAGGTTAATCAGGGGAAAACAGAAGGAGTTTGATTGCGTAAAGGAGTGTGATTGGCCAAGAGAAAGGAGCCTGAATAAGGAGTGGAAGGGGTAGGCAAGAGCAGCTCAATATCTACTGATGTTTTTCAGGCTGTTCCGTGGTTCAGTTCCAATAATACACTAATTTGTTTATTAACGGACTTGCCATTTAGCTGTATCTACTGAACCAAGATATTTAATTTAGAGAAGTCATTGGAAAGTACAGTTTCTTCAATGATTGCACCTTTTTCCTTAATCTTTTACAGACATAACAAATTATTATGTTCAAAATGAACAGGATTTTAACATTAAAAAATTCTTACCTGGGATTACGTCCGATATGTTTCCACATACAATAAATAACTGCGGCACCAATAAGCGAGTACTCGATGATAAAAGGAAACAAATACGGAGCGGAGTCTTCAACGATGCTGCCCATGATGTTCAACTTGTTGCAGTAAGTACCATTAGAGCTAACATTAGAAGCGGTGAAATATCTTAGAAAAGCTGCCGGTTTGAGACTGTCAAACAGCTCGGTACTATTTGTGTCATATTCAGGCTCCTCCGCAACTAAAATAATAACATCAATTGGTTTGTGTGATAGTACTAAAACTATTTAATTGTTAGTATACCGTTAGCTATATCGTTAGCGACAATATTATTAAAGCTCCTCAAATCGAAGAAATCCCGAAAAGTCGCGTACGTTGAGGGCGCAAAGGTTTTGGCCGCATGAGGGAAAAAGCTTTTTTCCGTAGTTATTGCTTGCCAGGAACGCGCCATTGTAGTTCGTAGTGTGGGCGGCAAAAATGTTGTAGTAGTTGTAGGGGCAGTTGTAGTCCGCCATAACATGGTAGGGATGGTTTTGGCGGTAGTTGTAAACATTCCTTATATTTAGGTTAGTAGGTTAATATATGTACAAACAGGACTAGAGGTTACTAGACACATGAGACTAGTAGTATCTAGTCCAGTCTGTATAGGAAACATCAACAACTTACTTTTCGTAGTTGTACTAATCATGGTTGTAGTAGCGGGCGCTAAAGTCGTAGCTTCTGTAACAATGTTGTTAAAGTAAGCGTGAACGCCTCTAGCAGTCGTAGCAGCAACATTCTTAAAGTTAGTAGCGGCCAAAAGGCTTGCAGCGGTTGTTTTAATGGGCGCGAAAACATCAGGCTTGGCCATGTGAGTACCGAGGACGGTATTGGCATTGCGTAGCGTGTGTTGTTTAATGCTTTCTGAAATAGAATCGATGCATTTTTGGGCTTATAATCATTGAAATATTTTACCTGCAAATGGAGCTAGTGTTTCTGTAGGAGCTATTTTGGTGGAGTTTAACAAGTCCAAATGGTAATTGGTAATTTCTTTGATGTATTCTAGTACCAGGGTTCTGATCCAGACACAAATGTTGGTAGCCACTACGTGCATTAGTCCAAATCGAGCTACGACTTTGAATCGATGGATGTTTAACTGAAAATGATGATTTTTCAAATATATATATTTAAAAATTGGCTTTATATGCTAAAAGATGGCTGAGGCCTTGTGTTCCCAGATTGTGTCTGAAAGCATGTTTGATACTTTATGAAACTAGAAAAATAGAATTTTCTATTTCTTGTGTTTCTTAAATGCATATTTTGATGTTTGAATGGAAAAAATCCAAAAAAAGCACATAAATGTCTCTTTGAACCCTCAAAATTTCAACTATATACAGGATGTATCAAAAAAGTTACAAAGCTACAAAGTATAAACATATTTGTTTTCACTAAAACTTCAACGAGTTAATTCTTAACTTTTCTAAGTGATTTTTTTATACACCCTGTATAAAGTTGAAATTTTCATAGTTTGTAAAGATGTTTGTGTACTTTCACTGGATGCTAGAGTTTTTTTATTTCGAAAATAAAATCATTCTGTATGTACAGGGTTTCCCAAATTCGCGGGCTGACATGGGAATATCCAGGTACCGTTAGATATACGAGGGTGGTTTAATTGGACAAAAACCTACGGATTTATGTGCCCATCACTATATTCAGATTTTTCTTTTTAATTTCTAACCGGCAAATTGTTGGACACATATGGCCATTTGCACGGCTATCACTTAAGGGATATTTGATCTAAGTGGAGTTTTGAATGTGACTTTTGTTTCTACAAGAGTCACATTCAAAGCTCCACTTGGATTAAATATCCCTCAAGCTATAGTGGTGCAAGTGGCCAATAGATGCGCAACTTTTGTTTAATTTAACCTAACCACCCTCGTATCTCTAGCGGTTACCCATATCCCAATGTTGGTCCTGGAATTTGGGACACCCTGTGTTGGATTTTGCCCACTTTACTTTATTTGAGGATGCAAAATCGCTGCTTCAAATAATCGATTAACCACGTTTACTTTCCTGAACAATAATTTATTGAACGAAATTACAAAAAATTGGGTAAAAAAAAAATGATTTTGGGTTACAAAATAGAGGTGTCAAAAAAGTAACTATTCGTTACTCGAGTACTCGTTACTTGCCCGGATCCGAAATAACGAATACAAAAATCACCGGCGCTATAGTTATTTGAGTACTCGAATCGAAATTCTCTATGCGCATTGCGCACCATATTTTTTATCCTTTTCAAAGGTATTTGAAATTTTGGGATAATTTATTTGTATTTGTTTGTTGTTTATACCAAATAATATTATAATAAATATTATTATCGTCATACATATTTTTGTTTATTCAACCTTCAACCAGATTCAAAAATATATTCCAGTCAGAACGAGTATTTGAGTAACGAATATTTAGTAACGAGTACATTACTAAAAAGTAACGAATAGTTATGAGTAGTCAAAAGTAACTGTATTTTACATCTCTATTACAAAACAAAGCAAGGTGCTTGCCGCTTTCTTGTTCGATGCTTATTGCATTGCTGATTGCTTCACAGCGACAGTGATGACGCAATGACCAGCGTTGCCAGATTTATTTTTAGTTGCGCTGCGAGTTGCCGCTAGCTTCACTCCGATCAGGTCCGCGCCCTGATTCCTACGACGCACAAACACTTCTTTTTACACCAAAAAAACTTTATGAAGTGCGAACACCCTGTACGTCGCCAACTGATATATTATTTTGGCAAAAATTCAAAGAAGTTTTGAGAAAGCACATGAACGTCTTTTTCAACTGAAAATTTCAGCTTTATACAGGATGTATCAAAAAATCTACAGGGTGTCTTTTTGAAATAGAACGTAATTTTTGTATCGAAAATGTCAATTTTATGCTGTCAAAATGTCAATGAAAGTACGCACTGAAAGCAAAATCGAAATCGCCATCCACTAAGGGTGGGTATTATAAAACTACTTTGAGAGTTAACTTAAAGTTAACTTCTGGAATTACATGTAATTCAAAAAGTTAACTGTCATAGCTGTTTTATAATACCCGCCCTAAATCAACAAACAAACCGTTGTCTGGAAAAATATAACAAAGTATTGTCTGGCCAACGAATTTGAAGCTACAGGGCATTGGTCAGGGGAATGCAGTTGTAGCCCGATTTCATTTATAAATGGACAGCGGCGTGCGGATTTTTTTGAAAACTCATACATGAAAATTGAAAATGCTTTCAAACCCCCGCCACTGGATATTTGAATATAAGTCGATATTTTTTAAAGGTACGGTTTGTTAGGATCATACGCGACGCACAACTGACAACTGACAACGTAAACGTCGTCATTGGTTGAGGTATGACGTACACCCGTTTTCTGACGTCAGCGTCACCGTCAGAAAACGGGTTTACGTCATACCTGAACCAATGACGACGTTTACGTTGTCAGTTGTCAGTTGTGCGTCGCGTACGATCCTAACAAACCGTACCTTAAAATGGGTTCCATTGACAATGGCGATCGTGCGATGAACTCCACCAATGATGGCATTTCCGGTTGGTAACATTAAGGCAACGACCAATGCATTTCTATCTGTTTCCTTAACATGCTGAGAGAAAGAGATGGAAATACACTAAGCGAGCTTTGATCTACCAATCGGAAACCCCATTAAATTCATCCAGGTCGTATATGTTTGCCAAATTGACAGAAGCAAATGATCTATACTTCATCCACAGCATATACAAAAACAATCAGCAGGCTAACTCTCACGCGCATTTTGTCAAAACGCTGTCATTAAACGGCAGGAGCGCCAAAATTTTATTTTATTTGTTTATTTCTGACGGAGGTTATAGGCGTGCGGTGTAGAGCGGAATTTTAGCTATGATTTTCAAAACGATTTTGATATATTCGTGTTGTCATTTATGGTGTTGTCATTTATGGTGTTATCTGTTATCATTCTTGTATATTCAATAATAATAATAAATTAGTAATTATAAACATTATTATATGTAAGTAATAATAAATTAGTTTATTTAAAGCCAATACGACTCTGTCACAGGAAAGAAAAAACCTAAATTATCGTTAATCAGGCCCTGTTTCGTATCCCAAAATGGCCGCTAGTGACATTTTGACGATGAATTCCTTTATTACACGGGCTGTCACTCAAATTAGCCTGCTGATTGTTTTTGTATATGCTGTGCTTCATCTCTAGTATTTTTGATATTTTATAATTAAACGTGGCAACATCGAACATCTTTGTCCGAATTCCTTCCGTAGCTTCAGATCCACTGGCCAGACATTATGATAGACAGTGCAAATAACGTATGACGATTATCGTCATTGCGTTTCAGAGCTTAGGGCGGGTACTATTATAAAACTACTTTGAGAGTTAACTTAAAGTTAACTTCTGGAATTACATGTAATTCAAAAAGTTAACTTCAAGTTAACTGTCAAAGCAGTTTTATAATACCCGCCCTTAGACAAATACTTTCTTGCCACATTTGTGCGCGATTCTCATTGGACGGTAAAGAAATCTACGTCATACACTGGCGCCAATTCAGTACTATTGATTACTGTGGTATGAAAACAGTAATAAAATAAAAAATTTGAAAGCCAGCTGAAAGCAAGGGCATTTATATTTTGGTTCGTAATACAACCGATTAAAAGTATTGAAACAATGAAGTACAAATCTATGGTGAAATTTCCCATTAAAGAAAGAAATCCAGATGTAAGCCCAAGGTTGTGTAAGACAGGTAGGTTCCCTGATAACTGATAATAATGATGTCATCTGGGGTGCCTCAACAACATAATGCAAGAAATTTAAGCACCCCCCCTGGGTCCTTATTCTTGGAACAGGGGAGCAGCGTTCCCAGGAGAACGAGTGTTCTTTCTTTTTCAATGATATGCAACTGATAATATAAGTAAGTAACAAAGACGGAACACTCTTCTCCAGGGTCCTTATTCTTGAAACAGGGGAACAGCTTTCCCGGGAGAACGAGTGTTCTGTCTTTCTCAATGATATGGAAATGATAATATAAGTTACAGAGACGGATATCTTGTTCTTCCGGGAACGCTGCTCCCCTATTTCAAGAATAAGGACCCAGAGGGGGACGCTACTCCCCTGTTTCAAGAATAAGGACCCAGGGCTGGGACTCTGTAACGAATAGAGATCCTTATCCCTATCAGTATGGTACTTGCTGTGTTTCTTCTCTATTATTACAATGAATACAGAGAGTACGTCAAATTGGTCCCAGCCCAGATGCGTCATCAAATTAACCATTACCAGACAACCTATTAACTTAAGGAACCTTGATGTAGGTCCCTCTTTTACAATCGTTTACTTTCTAAAAGCAATTTGAAAGTATTTAGGTTTATGTGCGATTCACACTATAAGTATCCGCATTGTCACGTCACCGTACCGTCAACGACACGACAAATATTCTACCCAAGAAATCTTGACGCTACGATAACGTGACTAGTCACGCCACTATCCGTGGGCCGTCAGGACGTCTATTCTCGTTATAATATCAATAGACACTTTAAGCAGGTCCTAAATTCGAACGTATCCGTATCCGCATCGATCTGCGCATAAATACGATGGTTTCGTTGCGTTATCCGACCCATTTCACAATGGACGTAACGTAACCGTGAAGACGTAACATAAGTCCTAAGCATGCGCACATTAGATTTATTTGCGTCAAATATGTCACCGGAAACGCAACGTAAGAGATGACCAACTCTCATCTTCCCTTACGTTGCGTTTCCGGTGACATGGTTGACGCAAATAAATCTAATGTGCGCATGCTTAGGACTTATGTTACGTCTTTACGGTTACGTTACGTCCATTGTAAAATGGGCTTTAAAGTGTCTAGTGTTATAGAAATATAAATATGGGCGACTTTCGAGAATTAGGCATTAGCTATGACGTCACACACATAACTTCACTTCCGATGGGCAGACAAACAAAGCATTTGAGGGTTATTTACAGCAGTGAAAAATGTGACATTGATGATAAAAAAGAATACTGCGCTGGACTTATATGAACAGGTAACAGGTTCATTTGGGAAATATCTTTGTTTGTTCCATTGAGGTAATTTTGTCCCAATGACAGGTTTGTTCCCTT